CTCTCTCTCTCTCTCTCTCTCTCTCTCTCTCTCTCTCTCTCTCTCTTACACAATCAATCTCTCTTAGCTGAGCGCTTCTCCTCCACTTTCTCTCGACACACATGACAATAGAAGGACAATTAGAGGCAACAAAAAACATTTTTATTATTATTATTATTGACTTGAAAATGAATTCCTTTGTTATTTGTCACCCAATGGAGACATGTTATGCATATGAGTAAGTGTTATTGTGTTATTTTGTGTGAGGCGCAAGATAGCAGTGTAGCAAGAGAGACAAGAATCTCCCTCTCTTCATTAAAGGAAATAAAGAAGTGCTAATGCAGTTATTAGCAGCTCTTGGTGCTCATCTCATGCTGGGCTTTTTTTCAACACATTCCCTCCCTTTCTGAAGCTAAACTGGCAGAATGATGGCGAGAGCTGCTCACCATTGAAATGACATCTCGTCTGTCATAATATTCTGTGGTAAAAGGCAGAGACTGATAAAATGCAGCAGCAGCAGCTCGCTAACATCCATTATTGGATCCGTTAATGCATAAGCATGGCATGGTGATTTTTAATTTTTTTTTGACATGCATTATTAATCACGAGCCAGAGAAAACTTTGTGCACGCTTGAATGCGCACATCTGTATGCACGTAACCACCCACAAATGTTTGGTAGAAACAGATGAGCATCAGGAATCGGGCACGTCCCTTCACAATTTTGAAAGTGCTTACGTGAACGTTGTGGGAGGGAGAGCTAATTGGCTGGAATGGCTGTGGAAACATGCAGGCGAATCCCCCACCCCCATGACTTGGAAATGGGTGGGAAATCAGGGGGGCGGGGAAAACCCAAATGGAATTATGGAGAGCTATCACTTCCTAACTGGTGAGGATTTATACGCCACTGCCAAGGCCAACGGATTGAAGTAATTTCATTTTTCATGCATGGCTTCTGTCCCCACGGAGACCTGAAGCGAAGAAAGACAGAGAGAGAGAGAGAGCGTGGTGAGAGAGAACAGTGGAGGGGAGAGATGAGAGGAACGGGGAGGAGTGGAGATGAGAGAGAGAGAGGGAGTTGGAGAGGAGAAGGGAGGGCAGAGTATAAGGAGAGACAAGGAGATGGGAGGAGGAAAAGGGGGGATGAATGAGAGGGGCAGACAGTTTGGCAGTGTGATGTGTAATAATGGCTTGTATTTTCTAATGCGACAGGAGAGGTAGATGGAGTCCGTGTGCTGCAGTCTCTTTGCTTTGCATGTAGAGGAGGGCAATGGCGGTACACTGGGAGTTCAACTGAGCTGCCGGCTGGATATTTGTTAGTTTGTTGGTGTTTAACGGGGAGAGTTTCTTTGAAGTAATTGCAGTCGATGCCTGCAGCTCGTTAATTATCATAGCTGTCAGCACTAATTCGCTGAGATATGCGCAGAGCTTTCTGACGTTCTCCTCCTCCCTATTCCCCAGAGAAAACACACACGCAGACACGCACAAATTGCATTAGTGGGCTGTTGTGACAGCTCTTCTTGTATTCTTACAGGGAAGGTGTCTATAACTGATTACATTTAGTTTGATTAGAAAGACACACCTCCACCAGATCTCTCTAAAGAGGAGTCGATGATGACGTCAAGGCCGATGAAGAGAAGGTGAAGGACAATAGTGATAATAGCAGGCGTACAGTATGTGACGGTCGACAGGCTCCACCAGCAGCAAGAGTCGAGACGACGCCTGTCTCGTACTCTATGGCCGTTCCTTGTCCTTGTTAGTTGCTCCAGCATTTCTCTCAGCAGGACAGAACTCCTAGTGTGTCGAAAGTGTGGCTAAATTGGTTCCTCGAGTGGTGAAAGATGGAGACAAATTCGGACAGGCTTACTCCTCTGGTGCATTCCTGTGTGTGTGTGTGTGTGTGTGTGTGTGTGTGTGTGTGTGTGTGTGCGTGCGTGCGTGCGTGCGTGTGTGTGTGTGTGTGTGTGTGTGTGTGTACGTACATTGTGTGCCCACATACTGGAGTAAGTGTATGATTGAGTCATTTTGATACACTGGCTGATGTTCACGGGTTGTCATGTAGTTAATGGACAGAGATGGGATGCTTTGAGGTTTCGGACTGTATTTGGGCACTAAATTGAAAAACTCTTCCAAATGAGACCCAATTACACAGCACTCCAGTCCAAATCACAGGCCTAGCAGTGCACTTAATGCACCTGTTAGCCGTCTATCTGGAAAAGCAACGCTGAAACCAAAGTAAGCAGGCCTATTTCTTAGAAAACATCCTGCTTCCCGTCTCACACAGTTATTCAATAATTCTCTTCCAGTGTGCACCCCTGGATTCCAGACTGTTATTTTCTTCCGGCCCATTTTTTCCTCCTGAAGATGTGCTTTACTGTTATGATGCCTGTTGATGCTTTCCTAATTACACAACGATTACAACCTCATTTTTGTTCACAACCTCTCTGTATTCCCAGCTTGGCTCCAGCGAATGTTAATAAATCACTACCTGACTGCCAGTTAACTGTAAATATATGTTGATTTCATTTCTCCCTTTTCCAAATATTGGATTCAAATTTCTCTTTGAAGCACTCCAATTCTGCCAGACAGAATGCATAGGGCTCCCCGCGGCAGCACTAATAGAATCCTTGAGTACGTGGTAGCTAGAAATGCCAAACTGTGATGAATACGTGTGTGTGCAAGAGTGTGTGCCCTGTGTGTGCCTGTGCATGTTTTCAGTGAATAATATGCAATTTATTGTGTAAAGACAAAATGATTAAACTCGATGACTGTATATCACAAACTCGCCCTCGAATATTAAACTCCCCACACAGCAGATATTGCACCAATAGGTGCAGGTCGGCCGTGGCAGCTGTGTGTTTGAGTTCAGTCTCGGTGAAACACGGGATGAGACTTCAAAAGACACCCGATCGATTGATTGACTGTTCCTCTTTGTTTGTTTGTGGTGCAGATTCGTTCAGACCAGGACAAGGACATCTCGATCAGATACAGCATCACCGGGGTGGGAGCAGATCAACCACCCAATGAGGTGTTCAATATCGACCCCGTGATTGGAAAGATGTTCGTCACCAAACCTCTCGATCGAGAACATCGCTCTTCTTACCATGTGAGTGTCTCTCTCACACACACACACACACACACACACACACACAAACAGAACAGCCATGACCTTTGAAATGAAACCCACAAACATTATTATACAGCCAGTTAACCCTTTAACACATAAATCCGTCTAAATCAGTGTAGCTCTACCTTATAAAGAGGCGCTCTAGTATAAATCATTTACATCTGATCAACCGATTCCTTTAGTCGATTTTTTAAATGTTAACATTAACACATCTCTGGTAAACATCTTTGTGAAGAAACTCTGTTTAAGAGATCTGTTTATTAAATCAACTAATCAATTACGTAGTTGTAAAAATCAAGAGTTAGTTGACTAAATATATATATATTTCATTTCATTTCACAATTTATCATGTTTTCTCAACATAATAAGTTATGAAAAAACTAATCAGCTTTCGAAATCATTTAGTTAAATCCATTTAATAAACATAACAATATTGCATTATATTATTACATTACAGTAAAGAGTAATGATGTGTGAACAGTAAACACACTGTAATACAGAAATAAAATCGTTCATTGAAGAGTTGTGTCCGTCTATGTTTGTGTGTTCTTGTGCTTTGGTCACTGTGAGGAACAAATAAGTGTACAGTGAGGATGAAATAGAGCTGCGTCAGCGCTGTGTGCAAAGCATCTGAATGAAGCGCAGTATAAGCCAAAGAATGTGTCAATCAGTCATTAAGCTCTTCGTCAGCTACATTACTTTCTTATTGCTATAAAACTGCTGTGCCACAACAGTGACGAGGAGAGAGGAAAAATGGCATAGTGAGTGGCAAGATGTGAATACAACATGCTGGGATGTACTCTTCCTTCTTTCTGAGAATGAGATGAAAAGAGGTGTGTTAAAGGAGCCAGTTGACATCAGGGAATTTTGCTTTTCTTACTAAAAGTTATATAAGAAGATCGATAGCTTAGCTTAGCATAAACCAGAATCAGAATCAGCTTTATTGGCTATATATGCGTACAAGGAATTTGACATAATAATGAACACATGTCTTTTGTTTTTTTACCGTGTACGTACAGAAACAGTCACGCAAAAAGGTTGCGTGCAGCATGCATGGCCTACTTGTCTCGTCCATGCTGTGCTGGTCCAAAACCAAATTGGACAAGACACCTGTCTTGTTGCTACCTCAGTAGAATCATCCTGAATGAGTCAGTCTTCTTAGTAAGAGTCACCCACTGCTGGAACAGTCTTCCTATTGAGTGAAGACAAAGCACTAATTACCTAATCTTTAAACAAAAACTAAAGGCTTACAGCAAACCAAACCTGCAATCACGACTAAGCATACTACCTTGTCTCTGGCACTACCGTTACCTGCTCTCATTGCTTTTACAAATCTGCTACTTTTGTAATGCATTCATGTATATTATTGTATGTATCGTATTATTGTGCTGTACAGTGTTGTACTATAGTGTTTGCTGTTGAACTGTATACTGATTATACTAGGCCACTAAATTGTAATAACCTGCCCGGGGACGACAGGCGAAAATGAGCTCTCTAGCTAACTCTGGCACATTTGCATTGAGGTGGAAACTGAAATGTGGATTAATGTGCACTGTTGTTGGTAAATAAATAAATAAATACAGAAAACATCCAATAAAATAGGATGACATTTTCCAACAGTGCCTCTCCACTCACCTTCGTGCTTTGCATGCTGGTCAAGGCATGGGAATATTAAACAGTAGGGCAAAGTGCATTTAAAGTTTAGGAAAGTACCAACTTGTTGTATTGCTGCCTAAGCTATAGTCTTTCTGCTGCTGTGGAGAGAGAGATCCAAGGCTTTGATGTAGTGAGCAACCACACTGAGTTCATCACTTTCTGTCTCTGCTTCTCTTTGTCTCTGTGCCTGCCGCTATCCTTGTATTCATGTGGGAACCTGGTCTTGACTTACAGTCTTGGTGAGCTGGCAAGCACAACCTTTTAGTGGGAGCTGAGCAGATTTATACCCGGGAGAAACTCCAATCAATGAGGTGGTTTGTTAAGAAAAGCGGAGGGTTGCTAAAGGCTGCTTAACTTAAACTCCTTGTTTGTTGTGGAGGAAAAGCGTTAGATGGTGTAGAATACAGATTTCAGGGAGAAACCAGATGAGCCAACTTAAAGATGCAGAAAGGTGTCGCACTTCAATTAAAGGCCTCGTACACTAGATGCTGTTAGAGCAACAGGAGAGCAATTACACCGCATTGTATGAAACATGAACATCCTCCAGCCAATAACTTTAAAGGCAGGGAAGATTGTATATACTGAGCAACGTCATCCTGGAAAGCTGCAAAGAATTTGACTTTGTGCTCTTTCTTTTGTTTACTTTATATTTCATGCAAGGACAGAACAAAGTTACGGTCAAGTTCTTTTTATTTCAAAAGAAATTCAAAACCAGCCACAACAAGATGCATTCTTATGAGGAGTTTGCTGTTATCTCTATCAGGATGCTTTGCCAAGTGCAGAGCGCTGCTTGGTACTGTCCCCCCCCCCCCGCCTCTTGCCTTTCAAGATAATAACTTGTATATGGAGCCAGAATTACATTTTGCCTTCTTTAAACATGGCGGTTATCTCTGACTCTGGCTGTTATTGAATTAGGGTGTGGGTCCTAGCCTCTTACAGCACAGCGAGATGCAAGACGCGATGGCAGCGTGCGGGTATTGCAGGACGGATCAGACAATGCAGTGGAAGAAGTAGAGTCAAATTAACCTCAAGGGGACCCGAAGACCCGGTTTTGGTGGAGGTGCAGAGTGTAAGGGGGAGGGATTGGCATCAGTGGAGAGGATCTTCACCTCTGAAGAGAAGGACTCTATGGAGAGTGCTATTTATTCTGTTTTTCTGCCACAACAAGCCTGGAGGCTATTTTCACCTCTCGTGCTCTTGCAGCGGGCCAGGAAGCAGTTTTCCCATCAGGCCTGCTCAGATGTAAAGAGGAGTACCATTCCCTCAATTCTCCATACATGACGGGAAAAAGACTATGCTCATGTTGCAATTTCTCATCTTTCTTCTTTTTTTCTGTTAACAGTCTTTTTTTTCTCCAGCCGCTTTCAATAGCGCCATTTTTTCCTTTACCCTTCCTTTAGATGAATATCCCGAACATCATATGATGCGGAGAGGCCTGACATTGATTGCTGGCATTTTTAACTGAATAAATATTTACCAGCCTATGCAGTTAGAAGCAGGATGTAGATAGTATCCCCCCCCCCTGTGTGATATAAACTAAACATCCCCGTTGCTTTCAGCTGACAGCATATATCACTGAATAAGTCATGTGCAGAGATATAAACATTCCCAGGTAAGGTGAAGTGAATCCACACAGCTTTAGAGATAACCATGGAGTTCTTTTTGAAATGTCTTCTCAGTCTGTTAGTTTGACCTTCAAGTATGAAGTGAAAATACAAGTATTTAAATATTTCTCTGATAATTCAGGTATTTTTTCTGCGCTCTCCTTTTACTTTCTCCTCCAGACTTCATAAGAGAGAAAGCAGTCAGGATACATTTTACAGCATGTATCGATTCCAGTAATAACTCCATGTCCAAACTTTGTGAGAAATCCCAGTTGGTGATTCCATTGATCTGAGCACAGCTGAGTCGAATTTGAGATGGACCGGCTGTTTGTGGCTTCAGAGGGAAGTGAAGAGATTTCAGAACTCTCTTTCAAACAAAACCAGACAGAATGTTGGCCCGGGATCCAACACAGTGATCCTGAAACAGACACCTTGCCTTTGCAACAGAGCCAACTTCCAATAAAATGAGATGTTTCTTGTTTTGGTATCTGTGAGATAAAACCTTCTGGGGACCAAGTATGAAAGAGATAAGAAGTCTGGAGAAAGTGATCTCAAAGGCAATTTCCCTGCATGAAAAAATCCAGGATACCCCTTGTGACCCTATCTCATATTGTTGTGTAGGAAATCTTTTTGAAACTTTTATACTGTATAATTCAATAATGCAGATTTGTATCAGCGTTAAAATTCAGAGAACAGTGCAGAGGTGTTTTTGTTTTGTTTTTCTTTTTGTTTGGCTTTAGAGTTTCTGTGAAACTACACAAGTTACCTTGAAGCATAAGAACACTTTCAGTTTGTTGCTGTTTTATTCATGTTGCTTCTCTCTCTCTTTTGTCCACTCCTGTGCTGAGAGGATGAGGGTGTCAATCCCAGGAGTGATGTGAAGAAGCATGCCAACAACTGTTAAAAGATGTTGTCTGAGTATTTACATCACTAACTACGAACCACACATGTACATATTGAAATAAAACAATAAAGCATGCAAAGACTTAAAACAGAACTAAATCAGACTAGTCTGAAATACGATCACCTGAGATAAATAAACTGATGACTTTGACTGATGTTACACTGTCGTGTCTTTCGCACATTTCATGATCTCTTTCCCACAAACACCATGTAGAGGAGGCCAGAGCATTAATTCCTCCCTGAGTAGTGTCTGCAGACATAAAACAAACTAAAACCGTAGTAGTGGCAGAGAGAGGGCTAAACATCCTCCGTGGACATCACCTCATGGTGTAAATAAACGTTAGAGGGATAGGCCCTTGTTCCTTCCATGAGAAATCTCTTTTTTTATCCATCAAACACTAAATGTTTACCCGAAATAAATTTCTCCATAAAACCAATACAAGCACTCATCGCACACTCATACATTATTCATCAGTTCATTACTTCCCGCTCCCATATTGGTAATAATCTAACCTCATTTCTGGTGTTTTTCTTTCTGTCTCCCAGCTGCGAGCCCATGCCGTGGACATGAATGGGAACCAGGTGGAGAACCCCATCGATCTGTACATCTTTGTCATCGACATGAATGACAACAGACCCGAGTTCAAAAACCAGGTCTACAATGGCTCCGTGGATGAGGGCTCTAAACCAGGTGATGAAGTGTGGATGGATGGATAGACGAAACAAGAAGTACAGGATGAAGCGGGAGTGATTACAGAAATGTGTGAAGGGGTGACGCGTTTGGATATGGCTGGACGGAGGAAGAGCATCTAGTCTATCAGGAGAGATTGGTGTCGTTAAAAGTACGACTACCCCACTGAATCTCTACAGAGCCTTTTCCATTCCCCTTGATTTAGCAGATAGAGGAAGAATCCGTCTCCCACAGTGGCTTTTCATTGAGCCGGCTGCAGCAGCGGCCATAAACCAAAGAGGGTGCTCAGGCTGGAGAGGAGATTGAGGATTAAATGTACCACGCTGGAGCACCACTGGGTCATTTTGTCTAACCTCCGAACGGAAGAATCTCGGAGATGAGCTCTCTGTGTGCATGCGAGTCTGTGTGTGTGTGTGTGTGTGTGTGCGAGGCTGATGAGCCTGATGAGCCAGATTTTATTGCTCCAGAGGTGATCTCAGCAGGCGTTCAGGTTCTCATTTCCTTTTCCTTCTTTCTGTTTTATTTTGCTTTCTGCTGCTGTGTCCTCCCCCCCCCCCCCCCCCCCCCTGGCAGTGCCCCACACAGCAGACAAGTCTCTGTGGCATGCATGACATTCAGCTGAACAATAATCATAAAAAAGGAGAGTTTTTGAGTTTAGAGCTCCAGTGGTTTCAATGGAAGGCCAATTACAGACTTGAATTAGTTTGCAAATTAAAGAGTCATTATGGGGACCTAATCCTGTCAGGCACAGCTTAGGACGCCCGTACAAAGGGTCCACATTAAACCCCCTAAGAGTGCAGCTTAATGAAATTACCCCAGCGATGTGTGACACATTGTGATTCTTCATCTCCTTCTCTCTATCCCTCCATCTCCAGAAAAAAAAGGGCGATGGGTGGAGGACTGCAAGTCACTCCACTTGGAATCAAACCAAATATGGAGCCTGTCCTCTCTTCCTCTCCCTCCCTCTGTTCCTGACGGCTTTCTTTTTTTTCTCCTCGTCTCGCTGAGAGGCCTTTAGAGTGCTCCCTGTGGCCGAGTCATTGACAAATGTTGCTTTGAAATGTAATGAAGTTTGAAATGGGAGCTGCGGTTACAATTATCCTCGGACAGGGGCTGTCACTGGTATGATATCACTATCTCTGGCAATTAGAATCGGCTGCGAGAGAAGGAGAGGGAGAGAGAGAGAGAGAGAGATGGAGAGATTGGGTGATCCCACAGAGTTATACGAGTGTGTGGATGCAGCAAACAAGTGGTGCATTCATGGACGGATAGTGGCTTAGTCTCTCCAGCAGAACTGAGTCTGCTTAATGCTATGTGCCTGTGCTCACTTGTGGTTGTAGTTGGATTGATTATCATTTACAGGTTTCAAGCAGTTCAATCAATGTAGACCAGGATTATTAAATCTCTAGGCAATTTATTATTTATTATTTTTATATAGTAATCGGCATCAGAACAATGTGAGTAGCAATATCTGTCATAGAAATGTACTTAAAGGATGCACTTCTATTTAAATCAGCTGAGAAGAAATGGTAGACATTTTATTTGCAGCCTTGTTCAATGTGCAAAATATACTGTGAGCCATGACGTCTGATCACACCTCCTGTAGATCTGTGAACACTGTATATCTGTGCTCGCGTGTGGCGGTTGGAGTCTTGATTATTTACAGAACAGGTGTTCAACGTTTCCCTGCCGACGTGACTCTGTAAAGACACATTCACGCTATCGCAGGTGTTAACAAACTGCTATGGAACATCCAGGTGGTTTATTATCCATGTTTATGTACACGTGAACGTGAATATCAGTGTGATTATTATCAATACTGTATCTGTCATTAACATCTGTTGGTGGGATGGTTGATTAAGCAGAGTAGTGAATTGAGCATTTCATCAGCTTCTCTTTTGTTTCACTTTAAGCTATCCAATAAAAAACACAATAGCACAAAAGTAATCGACGGTACAAAGTGAGTCATTTATTGTCAGGAAACGAAAATTACTTACATTACAAATTACAAATTGCTTTTGGCTGCTTGGACATACATGTTTTACAAATATTATTTCCTCCATCAGGCACGTATGTGATGCACGTGTCGGCGTTTGACGGCGACGACAACACCACAGCTAACGGAATGGTGCGCTATCGAATCCTGTCCCAGACGCCGCACAGCCCCATCCCCAACATGTTCACCATCAACAGCGAGACGGGAGATATCGTGACTGTGGCGCCTGGTCTCGATCGAGAGGTTGGTCTTCTCCACCAATAAAATGTGTCCCAGAGATTAAAAAAAAAAATCATGCAAAACAAATAAGAATTTCATAATTATTTTAATCGTTCACTTCTGTGAATAATTGAGTAGTGTCCACACAATCTGAATGAACTAAAGCAGGCCAGATGATAAACCTTCATCCTTGTTCCTAACAGCATTGTTTACTCTGATGACACTCAAATGATGTCTAGCCACAGACAGACACACACACACACACACACATATTTCTTTTTTTTATACAGTAAATTATCTTCTGCTGCAATCACCTTGTTTATGGAGCTCTACAAGTTGTGACAAGATCCAAATGTGTTTATTCTCGTGACATGGAAGTGTCAGTGACAACTCTGCGAAGAAATCTCCGAGACAGATCATCCTCCCAAACCTTCACCGGTGACAGCCCTATTAACAACACATCACGCTGCAGTGGACTGCTCATGCTGTGTTGAGTGTGTGTACGTGTGTATGTGTGTTTGTCTGTGTGTACAGTATGAGCTTGTGTGGTGAAGATAAAGTGGAAATATCTGAGATAGAATGCCCTCGACACCTGTCAGACAAACACAGAAGCCCATTTAATCACATCTACACTCGATAAAACACAGGCAATTGAGGGGGGGGGGAAATGAAAACAGAAGGGAGCAATAGAACAAAAACAGAGCCGGGCAGACGGGGTATTACAATGAGTTGGGAGGAAGTGAGTGTGAATTTGGCAATGAAATAGGGTGATGGAGACAGAGAAGCTGGATGAGACATGAGGGTGCCAGAAGGAGGGAGAGAGAGGTATAAGTGGAACATGCAGTAAAAATGTCTCAGCTGATCTGCTGCTTATTTTTAAGCTACTAGTTTTTTCTGTTTGCTTCCAATCCAGCCAGCCCCCCCCCCCCCCCAATGTACAATTAAACTCCCGTCCACAATATACACACACACATACGTGCACAATTATATTTGTGCAACTACACTTGTGAAGACCCATTCAAACATCATTCATAAAGCCCTTGACTTTTTTTATCCTTATGTACCCAGTGTAGTATCACTGAGAGCCCTCTCCTTGCACACGGTCACTGGGTTATACACATCCACACCTTGAAGATACCCAGTACAACTTCAGTGTTATCTGTTGGCCCCTGAGAAGCTCCACTGAGGCAGATTTGGGTTAAGAGCCTTGCGTACAGGCACCTAACTGGTGATAATGAGGGAGGGGCAAGCACTACCCCCATGTGAGGATCATCTGCTTTTCTCTGTTTGACAGTATATCATTGTAAATTGATTATATTTGGGTATTGGACTGTTACAAAACAAGTCATTTAATGATTTAGGCTTTGGGAACCTGGGAGGGCCTCTTCCTGTCCACATGTGGAAGTGTCCTCGGGTTTGACACTGGGCAGGCCAGTGCCTATCCTGACAGCCAGAGGTGTGTGTGTGTGTGGGTATGTGTGCTTGCGTGTGTGTGTGTGTGTGACTGGGTGAATGCAAGGCCAATTGTAAAGTGCTGTCTATTAAGGTAGATAAGCGATATATAAGGGCAGTTAAAGGAACCTACATGCTTAACCCAAACCGGGAAGCTAATCTTAACCTAAACCTAATACTAACTTTCACCAAAAATAAAAAACAAGTCTTAAAGGAATACTTCAACAATTACTTACCTTGAAGACTTGAAGAGAAATTTGTTTTTCTCACATGCCTCCGGTGAAAAGGAGAATCAAAAGACGGAGAGACGTTTTGATGAATTGAAGTATGTGGGGGGTCGTTTTTCACAATAGCAGAATTAAAACATCTGTGTACAAACTCTCATACAACTCACTACTTTCCAAACACATGTCTCTTTGCTAAAACCTTACTATTTGATGTTTAATAGTAAAGGTTTTAGCAAAGATGCACATGTTTGGGAAGTAGTGAGCCTACGACTGGATAAATGAGACTTGGATTATACTCCTCAAGTCGAGTCAAAGCTTAACAGATGTTTTGATATAGTTTTGCTGTTGTTAAACGCAGCCCACATTTACTTTAATTCATCATGATTTAGTTTTTATTCTTCATTCACAATTGATTTCCAAATGGTAATTTTGTGGGTGAAGTATTCCTTTAACGCTTCAACCGCCCTATGAGGAAGTGAGGACCAGCCATGTCTTCACTTTCCAAAAATGCCTTCACTGTCATTGACTAAAACTCAAATTGGTTCTCACAAAGAGAGACGTAAGAGCGCGCACGTATGGATGAATAGATCCATGTACTTGTCTTACATATAGACCAGTACATGCATCTATTGCTCTGTATTGTGTGGTCTCACACATACATTTGTAGCCTTAATTAAACACTGTTTCTATAGCGTACAAATACACGCTTCTGTTTTCCTGCAGCTGTTTTCTTTATACAGCAGATAAGAAGTCTCAAAGCTTGCAGAAAAAAGGAACTCATGTGTTGTACATAAACTTCACAAAAAGATGCTACACAGCACACTGCGGTGCTTCCCTGGTCCACTTTTAGTCAGCACTTTGGCCCTTTTGAAACTTTGAAAGTTTCTGCCTTTCCCTTCCCTTCTTGGGCTGGGGTGTTGGAGGCGTTAGGTGCTACGAAAAAAACGAAGGAAAAAAAAAAACACAGGCATCTATTTTTGGTAGTCCTCCTCCCTTGCGCATTCGCTGCATCCCCTGCTGTCTCTTATCCTCTCCTCTGTTCTTCACGTTTGAAATGTTTTCTTCCCGTCCTTTATAAACTCCCACACTGATTCTCTTCTAAAGGTTTCCACTGGTCTGCAGTGGACTTATAAGGGCTTGTTGACAGTAACAGACCTCAGTCCTCCAGAGGAAGCTGTGTATGCTGCGGTGTTGCAATGCTGAGAGGTTCAGAGGAGCTCTACATAATTACTCCCTTGTCTAATTAGTGAGAGTGTTGTGTACATGCTGTACACTGGCTGATGGGACAGTCAGCCAAGCGCTGCCTCTGAACAATAAATGGAGAAAGAGAGGTGTGTGTGTGTGTGCACGTATGGGTGTTAATGAGAGTGTGTGTACAAGGTTGGAGTTCAGCATCTCGTCTAGCATCGAGATGAGAGGAACTGAGAGGAGCTGTCTAATCCTCCTGATGTGGCATCCTGGCCTAATTGGGATATTTACTGGGTAATTAGCAGGTGAGAGAGACACTGGGAATGTAATTGGGAATCTCAGTGAAGAGACACATTACCCAGACAGTCGGCTCCCGGGCTCCATCCTTCCTGCAGCCCATTAACTGCACCGTGGGACAGAAGAAGAGACAGGATACTGGCAAAGAGGAGGAGTGCACTCAAGTACAGAAATACAAATAAGAGAACCATATTTCAGCTTCTTGTGAAGTGACACCGTGTCATTTCAAAGGAAGAAATGGCATTTATCATTCCCTCGTATTATTGCCCCATAGATAGTCTATTAATCTCTGTCAGTTGGATCATTGTCTTCACATCTGTCCATCAGTGGCGCTGAATAAGTAACGTCTTTGATGACATACCCACGGGGAGGCTTCACAGTGCAGCCTTCAGACGGTGGGAAGTCTGGATACGTTCCGCTGAGGAGGTTTCAACTCTGTCGAATGAAAGACTTCACCCTCGTGATTCTGTGTTTCAAATAAGAGCACGGACAGCTACTATAGAACAGAACTCTCCTCTGGGAATCACACTCCGTGGATGTTGCTTTAGACTTAAGGAAGAGAAAGCTTTTCGCAGATGAATAACTGCACACTGTGGTTATTTTTCTTTATTTCTGCCTTTTTACAGAAAGTCTCCCAGTATACCATCATCGTGCAGGCCACGGACATGGAGGGCAACCTGAACTTTGGCCTTTCCAACACAGCCACTGCCATCATCACTGTGTCGGACATCAACGACAACCCTCCCATGCTGACCTCCAGAACCGTGAGTTGCTGCAAATAAGGGAGTGGGGAGAGGGCGTCAATTCGGAGGAGGAGAGGGTTTGGGTTCAGAGAAGAGGGTGGAAATGATTAGTGTGTTTGGGGAAAATAAATAGAAAAAAGGCTAAAGAGTGACGGGCTAAGAGATGGAAAGGAGAAGGGAATAGGAGGGAGGGATAGAATAAGGAAAAGATAAAGGAAATGACGACAACACTGTTATGTCGTTACAAAGGAAGATTTACACAAGGACAGTGAAGGAGGGTTATGAAGTGCAAGGATGGCTGCACACACACACACAAAGGAAAAACGAATCCATATCATTGACTTTCATCAGCAAGAAAACTGGAGCCAGCAAATCGTTTATGATTGTTGTCACGACGGTGATATTTAAAATGATGATTACATTACAGAAGGTCATTATTGAGAGCGAGGTAAAAAAAAAACTAAAAGTCCAAAGTAAGGTACTGTCTGTCATGTATCAATGTGGTGCAATTCAGCAACATCATCACAACATTAATAAGTGAAGCGGGAGATTTTGTGTTGTTAAAAAGTCGACTTTAATTTCTTCCACTCTCTTTTAACTCAATCTTAACTGGTCAATTCTCCCAGTGCTGCTTAAAGTTTAGAGGTGCAGTGGAACAGCTGAGGTGGCAGCAGTAATTCTCACCGGCAGCTGGGAAAGTGGATACAATTCTGAGCCAATATTTGTATGGGTTTTAATGACATTCTCCAGAGTCACATTTTTATTTTATGTGGCAGGGGCATGCATTTGTTTAGAGAGGTAAAGACGGTCAAAAGTGGAGCCGACATGACTGCATTTTAGCTTCGCGCTATGAAGAAAAATCTCTCTAGGTGTCGGTTTGGCTTCAGGTGTCAGAATTATTCAGTATGTGCGCTTCATAAGTTGTATCGGTAGTGATGAGAGCTTGGGCCTGTTGGCTAGATAAGGTGCTTAGCTCTGCAACTGCAGCTGGCGGCTGAGGCGGCATCGGCACTACAGTAGGCTCGGTTCTTTGAGGTGGTAGCAGAAGAGTTAGCATTTGCCCTGGGGGCTATTAAGACCCTTATGATGATGAGTTAGTACTGGCGGCAAGCATGTGTCAGACCACAGAGCTCATCAGAGGGCTGCTACATCACACACAGCAGGAAGTGTACAGAGAGAGGGCAGAGGAAGGAAAAAGACAGACACAAAGGAGATGGTGGGAGCAACGAGAGAGGAGAGAGGGAGGGGGAGTTGATGAGCGGACCACCATGTAGACTCCGAGACCAAAAGTGATGAGAGAACAATGCGGAGAGGAGAAGGAACGATGGATTATTTTGGTCACAGGAGCTGTTTTCTACAGTGATAAAGCACAGACATGCCCCGTTGTAAATCAAAGGCCCTTCCTGACTCGGCATCCCCCTCTGATTTAAGATTCTCTACTCGTGGTGGCGTATTGATAATAGTGGCTAGCAATAGATTGATATTCTCTAACTGTATCCCACCATGTTTAAGTGCATTTCCATCATCGCCACGGAGTGAAGTTAATACGATCATGGATATTGATGATCAACTTTAGTGGAGGTTCTGGAGCCACGATGAGCAGAGCACTTCTACCCACTCCCTTCATAAATCACCCATTTTAGTTGTGGGGTAACATAAAAGCCATTTAGTTGAGAATGCAGGCCATTATGCAAATATTTATTGTTTGCAATAAACCCCACAGATCTTTCAACGTGTCCCGGAATTATAAAGTTTGGGGAATTTGTCTTTAATGTTGACGATTAATATTTCATCACGCCTATCAGAGGCTGCCCTATTTTTCAAGGCGGCAGAGGGTTGGGTGCGTGTGTGTGCGGGATGCGAAGGCTCCGGGTGCTCATTCGCGGCTGCATACATGCTTTGCATTATTTTCTGTGACGCAGATAGATGAGATGGAACGAAAAAACGTTACTCATCTCTTTTGTTTGTTAGCGCATACAGTGCTGCGGCGACGACTGCATCTCACATAGGTAGGGGATGTTTTCGTAGGCAGACCCACGCTCATACAATCAGGGGCATCTCTTCATGCAGGACTTACTTCAGTACCATCTTCACAATGTGATTAAGTTCCCTGTTACGTCTCCTTTCTCTCCTCTCACCTCCCCCTGCCTCTTTCAGTCTTTGCCCACTGCCAAAAATAATGACAGAAGGGTGAGAGTCTTGGCAAGAGGTGTTTTGTCAAGTGCTGCGAGAAAGCCAAGTGCACTCTGTGCCAATCACAATCAAAGCTCGTCCCTCCAGCAGTTGAGGACAAGATACAGTACCACAGAAAGAAAAACTACCCGATCAGAGGGAAATCTCTGCTAAAAGACAGCACAGTCATACGTCAATCCCCTGTCAAAACAAACCCCACCACAGTATACACAGTGCAGTACAATACGGCATTCGGCTAATAAATCACTGAGAGTGAAAGAAAGAGAACAAGCCCGAGGTTTTTCCATGACAGATTGAAATGCTCTCTGTTCAAAATCACACATGTTGAATCACAATCCATTTTTCGCTAGCAGACGTCAAAAGCTCACCGCTCTCACTCAGATAAAAGATGGAGTCTTCAAGAAAATAGAACAATCGCTCAATAAAACTGAATATAGTAGCTGGCTCTTAGACAAAAACCTATTTTTCATTTGAAAGTTAACTCTAAAACGCAACCTGAATGAATACTCGGTGGAGAAATTCTATTCCCGCCGTGAAAATGTTTACATCAACTGCATTCCCACAAGCTTTTTTTGCTTTATTGCGGTACGCGTCTGTGTCTGATGCTCATCAGAGTTCAAGCATATTCTGAACACTTCACCATCGCAATCTAATGTCACAGTTGATTTCGTTTCAGTGATTTGAGGGTACTTACTGCTCTATTGGTAAAGTTGGTATTTAAACAGTCTTGTAAGTTTCACTATTACTTGCAGTGAACTGTCTGAAATGAATTTGTTAAGTGATTGTACTGATGTTATAGGGAATTAAAAAGCTGCCGTACCATGTAAGATTTCCTACGGGAAAAATAAGGCTATTATAACTCGAGCTCTGGATGCTTGTAACTCCCCCCCCCCCCCCCACCCTATAAAGAGCTAATGAGAGAAACAATCTTAGACTGGGGTGTTGAGAATAAGTGCTGCGGTTGACCCTTCAAAAGTCTTCCATCATATCTGGTTAACTCTTGCCTTTACTCATTACTGTGTGCTGAGAGAGAAGATGCTCAATGGCCCTCAGGAGCTCAAGAGCCATCTCTGAAGTTTTATTTCATTGGCATCAGGGAGTCCCTAAACCAAACCACAGTAATAAAGCGCTCAAGCGCACACATGCACGCACTCACTCTTAACATACGACAGCCTGCCTACTTATCCAATGCAGGCAGCGCATCGTGGCCACCCGGACATGTCTGTTGTCTTAAGAATGTCATTGAGTCTCTGAACAGCTCTCCTGACGCAGCCCCCTAATCTCCCCGCTGCTGTCGGCTGTTTGCTGGGTGATGCGCGGGTTGCCAGGCAGGGTATTATGGTCTGTTGGAGTGTTTGGTCTGAGGCTTTGCTCTTTGATATCCGACACTCGCATAAGCAGCTCAGTGGCTCTTCCACGCCTGTTACCCATGTTGACACGGTAACTGTATGATGCCACAAGCCTGTTGCCTCCACATGAGGGCGAAGACACGCCAACGTGCTCACCTTCTGACCCTCACGTAATTGGTGGAGAGGTGATGTCCGTGTAGGTCGAGCTGCGGTGGAATTGTGTTTTTTTACAGGGCAGCGGTGCAGTTGTTGCTGTTGTTGGTTCGTCTTTTTGTTCATCCCCTGAGCCTGTACAGCTTTGATCAATCCCCACCATAACAGACATATGACAGACAGCGGCTCACTCCTCATCAGGCTTATCAGGACAAAGCACATGTGTTTGCACAGCAATGGGGACAACTAAAAGCCACTCGTATACACTCAAACAGCTGTTTTAACCCTCCCTACTGCTGGCTCCTTTCTGCTCACTCATTCTCGCGTCCTTTGTCACACCGGCTTTCAAAGGAATGAAATATTGCTCATCTAGAATGGGAACGCGGAAAAAGCAGAAAATACTGAAACTGCAACAACGCCCTTGTGTGCGTGTGGTTACTGGTGTGCAACTGTTTACTGCTTGTTTACTACTCAGCAGTGGAAAAAAACGAGATCATTAAACTTTACCTGAAAACCTGAAAGGACGACTGGCTCTGTAAAGAAAAGAAAATGAGAGATAGGTTTTTCTTTCAGTAAAAAATTGCCACACTCAAACAGTAACAGTCTCAATAAAGATCACATTTTCCTCTGCTTTCTGCAGTTTTCCGGTGAGGTCCCAGAGAACCGCGTGGATCTTGTGGTGGCTAATCTGACGGTGATAGATGCCGACCAACCGCACTCGCCTAACTGGAACGCCGTCTACAGGATCATCAGCGGAGACCCATCAGGGCACTTCACCATCCGCACTGACCCGGTCACCAACGACGGCATGGTCACCGTGGTGAAGGTAAGATGCCAGCCATATCACAGCATGCTCATCTTAGCACCAGTGTCGTGTCTTTTTCTGTGCCGTCCCATCCCCTGTGGATTTAAGCACGAGCAATAATAATAGACTACAGAGTTAAATGTGGAACAGGCTGGGGTCTGTTGCCTTTCACATGCCCCCTTATGTCCAAATGAGGGATTGGAGGCTGCTGCGCCCTTCAGAAAAAAAAACCCTGTACACCCACACACAGACTTAAACACAATGGCTGGTGAAACCACTGTAGCAAATTAGGTATTGATTTCTCAATTACAAAGGCAACGGTTTTTATACACTCATAATGTTCTAGCTGCTGTGGTAAATGACAGCAACAACAAAACCTTGTCTTGTAACAACCTGCTGTGTTAGTGTTCAACCTCTCAGACACAGATTGTCCTGAGGGCTATAACCCGTTCGGAAAAAAAAATTAAAAGAAATAGACGCTATTCAGCTTGTATTGTTTGTGTATGTAAATGTGTAGATGTGTTTCCTGTTGCATGGCCAGCAGCGTTTGTATTTCTGTGCTCGTCCGTGACTGGCTCACTATAAATGTGCTTATAATGTCGCATGAGTTTTGTAGCATCTTGTTTATTTGACCCTGAGGACCCAAGGGTATTCTCCCCATGTGTCTGACTCCTGCAAATAACATCTCTCATCCTACAATGATGCTTAAAAAATAGCAATAACATCACCCTGTAATTCCCACAGCACCCTGAGCAATGAGCATTGGCATTTTGCTTCTCTTCATTATCTCTAGATGACTGCCTTTTATAATCCAGTCCTCTCGCTCCCTGATGTAAAATTCAGCAGGCAGCCGAGTAGCCGCGAGCTTCCATAGAGACCCATGGGAGGTTATCAGGAAATCAGGAAATAAGAGACAGGACACCCCCTGGGAAGAGAAATAGACTGTCTCAACAAGTAAACAGAGGGGCTTCGGCTTGCTCCGGGAAATGGAAGCTGGAATGGTTCACATCACACCCAATATAGGTAAAGTCAAGAAGCCATAAGAAGGCGCTGCTGTACCTTGGCGTTCCTATTTTTAACACAGCGACCAAGGTTGCTAGTACAGATGCATCGCATCACACTGTCACCAAAGAACGTAGCAATCTCCCACGAGGGACCTGGGCTCCTCTGTAAACAAGGGCTGAGGTCTTAACCAGGACATGTCACGCATTTACGCTGCTCTCCAGGGAGTTTATGAGACACATTCTCATTAATAGAGCCAGTCGACAAACAAGCTTGTATAAAAAAAAAAAAAAAAATACACCAACAGAGCCGCTTGGTTCGAACGAGTCATTAAGATATGTAAATTGCAGCTTGGAAAGCGCGGAAATGGAGAGGAGGAGTGAAGCGAGGCGGAGACAGATTTCCGAGGATTGAGAGATGCAGGGAGCATAGATCACGGTGGGGGGGGCAGAGGTGAGAAGACGAGGGGGGGAATCAGAGTCCGGCGGAACAAATTAAGTAAGAGGGAAAGAGAGGAACGAGTGAAGCGATACAGAGGAAATGTAAGGCTCATGGGCAAAAAGATGGAAGCCGTGTTATTGACCTCTCACCCCCTCTGGCTTCCCTCAGGGCGTGTGTGTGTACAAGTGTGTGTGCATGTTTGAGTTGGCCTACAGCTATACTCTAGACCCCCCTGTGCTCCGAATACCACTGTCTGCAGATCAAAGAGCCTTGACCATGGCTTTGCCTGCAAATGGGTTCCCTGTGCACCAACGAGGTCATACACGAACACACACATCCACTTACTGGTATCGTGGATACACATACAAACTGTAACACCAGCTAGCGCGCACACAAACACATGCACTCTGGTGCCCTTGTCAACCAAACTGCCTGATTAAGAATGCTTTTTATATCAGAGCTACTGTGTACTGATAACACTCAGGCAATGCAACATACAGATGTGCTCAAAGTCATTAACATCACCATCAAACGCCGCAGACACGAGGCATGCGGCGGTAATCATCACCCGCCTATTTGTAAAATGTGCCAGCAGGACCTGCAAGCACCATATTTGTTCCCTTTTTTTATTTCCTTGCTTGTTGTTGTTGTCATTTGAACCTGATCGTGTAGTCTTCATTAGGAAAGCTCGGAACTGTCACTTTGGTTTAGGCTCTGCCGGTAAAACCCCCTGTAGAGTACACGTATACACACACACACACTCACTCAAAAGGCTGAGCCATGACAGCACCCTATGAATAGTCTAAGCCCTTCTGCCTCTGCTCAGGGTGTGTGTGTGTGTGTGTTGGTTAGTAGTTTAGAGAGAATATGGGTCCATTTCATCAGGGGAACACTTGACATGGCATCTGTTCATTTATCATGTCCTTTTTCATCAACAAGGTTCAACGCATATTCCCCAGCCACAAAAGAGAAATATGAAGAGCGGTTTTCACACTACCAGAGTATCATGCTTAAATACATGACATGGTGTGCTCATAAAAAGTAATAGTGGTAATGATACTACTAATAGTAGTAATAATCGAGGAGATCAGGAATTTCTTTTCTTTTTTCTTAGTTTTAAAGTGAAGAATGCATTCTCTTTTTTTGCAAAAATGCAGATTTACATAATTTCCTACTGAAAAGTAAGATATAATTATATAGGGGAGTAATGTCTACTGGAGAGAGAAGTCGCTCTGCCTCTGTGTGTGTAGCGCTGGTATCACTGTTACCAATGACCCGTAAACCCGCCTTTGCCATGTTGAGAGCCGTTGAGAGGCAATCCAAATGCTCCCAATCTCGCATCTTGCACCTGCTGGAATTCAGTTTCTCTTTCTCATCTCACACACTGTTGTTGTCCTCCTTCCTTCCTCCAGCCAGTAGACTTTGAGATGAACCGTGCCTTCATGCTGACGGTGGTGGTGTCCAACCAGGCCCACCTGGCCAGTGGCATCCAGTCGTCGCTCCAGTCCACAGCTGGGGTCACCATATCTGTCCAGGACGTCAACGAACCCCCTTACTTCCCCACGAACCCGAAGCACATCCGCTTTGAGGAGGGCGTCCCTGCTGGCACCAGCCTGACGACTTTCTCAGCTTCCGATCCCGACCGACTACAGATGCAGCAGACAATCAGGTACTGAGTGACTAGAATTACATCAGACTACAGAATTGGAACCCTAATTGGGCTAATTCTGACATTTTAACAGCATGCCATTAGTTTAAAGTTCTTCTGGTGCAAAATCATTTGGATCTTAATAGATAAGTTCTATTACATATGGACAGTCTCTGGACCCAGAAAAGTATAGCCTGATTGAAGTCTGGCTAGCTGCATTGTAAGTGCACGCCAAAAATGCCTCCATATGCACTAACAGCAGGCTAAAAAGACTCTTGGATGGGTTCCATGTCAGTAGTTAGGGGTCGAAGTTCAACAAGGGGACTGTATTTTGGCATCGCCAATCTCTCAAAAGTCTTACTGTGGGAAGTTTATGAGCCACCGGAGAACTCTTAGTAAGGAGGGTAAGGTTAATAGGGAGCAATAGCCTCTGGGGTAATCAGAAGCGTGTGCATTCTGTAGATTTCATGAGCAGGTGCTCACACACACACACGCACAAGCAGCACGAGAGAGAGAGAGAAAACAGGATGGGCGGAGAATAAAGAGAACAGCTGGCCCGAGACCAAACGCCTGACACAGCATTATGTCCACCTGCAGTGTTCTTTCTCTGCGCTAAGCCTCTCTGGATTTTAAATGTAAACCAACCTTTAGATGACCAGCAGGTCTTTCCTCAGTCCTGCTGTCAGCTTGACAGTAGCAGTTGACTGCATTGTGGCCTTTTTCAAACTGGAAAGGTAATCTTTGCTCGGTATTGATGTTTCAAAGAGAAAGAGCTTTAGATTAGGTGTGTTTCCACTCATGGTCACATGTAGAATGTCCTTATATATTATAGTGGGTGTGTCGGTGTAATGTATGACCGGCACAGTGCAGCAATTGAGTTCTAGCAGCACTCCAACAGCCCCTTCCTTCGCATTTTCTCCTGGGAAAAAGATCTGAACAAATTTCCCAACTAATTTCCCGGCAAATGAGAGTAAATTGGGTGGATGTTATAATTTAGGAAGACGCCAGAATCACCAGCTGGGCTCTACCTTATCCTCTCTCTCCCTGTTGAATTCACTTTGACCTCTTTGGTTTCATCCCTGTTTTGTCCATGACCCGTGCAAGACTGCACTACTTTACAAGCATGCTGTGGTCTGTCACGGTCTCCTAAACACAAACACAAACCAAATCTCCTTCCTCTGCGAGGAGGCAAGACTGTAGAGATGGCAAATCCCCGACCTCATTCATTTAGACCCATCTGGATAGGATAACTCTCAATCCCCCTGCTTTACAACAGTCCCATAAAAGGTATCTTCTCTAGACTGTTATGCAAGGACACTAATCACAGCTGTTCCATCCGTCTCTCGAATTCTCATTATTCTGAAGAAAAACAAATTCAGGGACACGTTCTTGCCAATCAGTTTAAACCCTGTGCAGTGTTTTCGTCACCTTATTTCACTTTCAAACTTTTATCACACACAGCTGATCCCAGTGTGCATACATCAAAGCCCCATCAATCAAATAGTTAGCTGACACGTCTGTTTGCATGGGGGAGACATTTAGATATGACACCAAAAGAGTTTGAGTTACATGTAATCTGTAACGTAGGCCTTTGAATATGACAAAGAGCTGTATGTCTTTGTAAATGGATGTTGGAGATGCATAAAGAGAAGAGAGACGAGGAGAAGATTCAGAGGGTGCCGTAAAAGTCAAAAAGTGAAAAAAGACCCCGGGGATAGTGGAGGGAGGAGGAAACAAGCTGAGGATGGTGAGCCGACTCCGAGTCAAGGTTTGAACTTTACAGGTGCTCATCAACAGAGGGACTGACTGACAGTGTCCTGTTGGGACTGGAGAGGAGGTGATGTGGACAGGGGTGAGAGGGAGGGGGGAAGGAGAGTGAGGCATCATGCATCACCTGTCAGACACCCCGACCAGTGAGGTCAAGACATGGGACTGGAGACACTGGCATAAATGATTACCCAAACCTCCTTGGCAAAGCTTGAGACATGCATTTTTCATCCTCGGGGTCAGAGGTTTGAAAAATAAATGTCATACCTCTCGCTGCTGCTTGCTAAGATCACTAACCCGCCATGCCTAATCATACATCCAGCTACACTCGCACAGCAACCAAGTCCCAAATGAGAGGAACTCTCAGGCTTCGGAGAGCTCAGGAAAACATTGGAAATGAGCCACAGGAAGGAATAATTACATTTTCACACAGATTTGTTTTTATTCAAAAATAGCACTAGAGTAAGCACGGACTGTTTACCTTTCCAAGAAGACAAAAAATTGGCAAAGCACCTCATTAAAAGTTATTGATGGGGACTGCCAAAGTAACATTGTTGACAGTTAGGACTTGTAAACAAAAACACTGTGGCTGTTTGTTCCATCATGATTCTAATCCCCGGAGTAGCGCCATCATTTACTGAGTGCTAGCAGAAAAAAAGTGAAGGAAGTAAAAATGGCTGTTTGCGCTGACCTTAACTTTTCTGGAGTGTACAGAACTAACAACGCAGTGGATTGTCTATTCAGTGTGTTGGAAATGAAGCTTTGCTGCAAAGATCATTCAGGACTTCATTTGCTTCAAATCGGGTTTTTACATCTGCACTGAGGGCTGTTTAGGAGACCTAATTAAAGTGTAGTGGTGGACAGAGCTCTCTGCTTCCTGAGCAAAACTTTTGTGTTATGGCTTTTATCATCAGAGAGCATGCAGCCACACGGGGAAAAAAAAATAGGTTCTGGTTGTATTTTATTGCCCATTATGGAGGGAAAAAACTCTCTTCCTCTCACACACAATTTTCCATACTTTTTTTTTTTTTTTTTTTGCATTCAGTTAATCATTTCGAGAAATGCAGTTGTGCACTTTCCAGCTTAAAGTTGGACGAGAAGATAGATTCCACTCTCATGTCTGTACATTAAATATGAAGCTGGAGCCAGCAGACAATTAGCTTAGCTTAGCAAAAAGCCTGGAAGCAAGGGGAAACGGCTAGCCCGGTTCTGTCAAGGAATACAAATAAAACAAATCCACTGATTGTACCAACACCTCTAAAGCTAGTTAACATGTTATTTGTCGGGGGGGGTTGTTGTACACAAACTGAAGTGAAAGAACAGCAAGTTGTGGTTTTACGGTGAGTTATGTGGTCAGGCTATTTCTTTGCCGAGACCAGTGTCTTGTCACTGTGAAGCAGCTAGGCAATTAGCAGACTCCAGGACTCCAGCTTGTGGACGGATTAAACAAACAAGATGCAGTATCCCGAGTTAATTATTGACCTTTAAACGGGCTGGTCCGCCGATTCTTTAAACTTTGGACAGAGCCATGACTGCTGTTTACTCCTGCTCCCCATCTTAATGCTAAGCTAATTGTCTGCTAACTCAAGCTTCATATTTAATGTACATATAGATTGTGCTATCAGTCTTCTCATCCAACTCTTGGAAAGAAAGCCCAAAATGTCATTTCACTATTTCAATATTCAGTATTTTTTCCAAGAACAATGTTCCGGTTATTTCGGTGACTTTACCCTTTAATTTCCTTTTGCTCTGTTAAAAGTACAGCAGTTTGTCTGCCCTCCACTGTAAATATATATATATATATATATATATATATATATATATATATATCAGCCTAGACAGAGAGTGTTGGTTTGCCATGGCAAAGCCAATAGAGTTGCAGATGGACACAGAATAGCAGTAGGGATCAAGTCCGTCCTAATGAGGTTATTAAAACCAGATCACACAGCCATGCTGCTTCTTCCGAATGTCACCTGTCCCGATCTCTCTTTCTCCTCCCACCCATTGCTGATCATATTCCTCGTTCTTTTATCCGACCCTCCCACTGCGATGGACTCACTGTAGTCCTGGAGGTGATTTCACAGTCCACCTGTTAGTGGCGGTGGGCTTGGCTAGCTTGTGTGAAACCGTCTAGAGTGTGGGAATGTCATCTCTGTGATCCCCTTCCCCGCACTACGCTACGCCAGGGATCATGCCCACTGCCTGCTGGGAAAATCCCACCTCCCTCACTGCAGGAGAGAGATTATACTCTCTTCCCCCGCACCCTCCTTGCCACCACCCAGCCTTCCAGGCTTTCACTCAAGTAAATGTACATGCAATATTTAATCAAACACAAATAAACTGACAGTAAGTATACTGCAATTTAATACATATAAAAGCAAGGTTAAGGTCAAGTCCATTTCAATTTCGATGGATTTAAAAGCTGGATGTGTTTGCCACATAACATGGCTTTATTGCCCAGGATGACATTCAGTATATGAAATCGGATTGATGTAGAAACCTTGTTGTATGAGGCCAAGGTTTGACAGAAGAGAGGTGTCACTTGATGAACTCTGCATCACAGAGGGAATGAGACGAGGATGAGAAGATACGGACGGGGATGAAAAAAAAGTATGAATACAAAAGCATGGCAAGATGAGGTGAGGCGGCATGATCTGTGAGATCTGATAGAATTGAAAGTGTGGAACGAGCCGAAAGCGACAAACGCCTGAGAAACAAGAACAGTTAGATCAGAGTGAGATTGGAATTCAATCCTGGAGATGATCCCCTGTTCCTTCCTCGCTCTTTATCCCGGGGGATGTCGCCGCCTGCTACCACATCCAGTTTCCTGTTTGACGATCAGTACCAAGATCCTATCATCCCGTCTCCGCCCTATGCACAGCTTCCCCCCTACACACACTGTGACATTTGCAACCAGACAAACACTTAAACATGCATGTATATAACCCTGCCAGGCAGCTTAGCCCTCTCCAGCATAAGGAAACACTTCCTAGAATATGTACATGCAACACACACGGAGGCAGGTGCAGCAGCGCTTAACTATGGAGGTAATTGACTTCAATGCCTGGTACACAGGAGTGAAAAATGAGGTGAAATTGACTGTAAGCTGCAGGCTCTGGAGGAGAAGTCAATGAAGAATTAAACCGTGTGAAGGGCAGGCGGATTTTGTGAGTGTGTGTGCATGTGCGCGGGCAATCTTTGTATGCACGGACGCAAGAGAAAATCGTCAATTGCTTGTAAACACGGAAGCGCTAACTCCTCCATCGATTTGTCCTTGTGTGTCTTTAGGTATTCAAAGCTGAACGACCCGGCGGACTGGTTGTCCATCAACAGAACCAATGGTCAGATCGTAACAACGGCCATGCTCGACCGGGAGTCTGTCTATGTCAAAAACAATATATATGAAGCCACATTCCTGGCAACAGACAATGGTAAGAGCCTCTTCTAATGCACGTGTTTCATCAGTGAACATTTCTTATTAGAGTGATCAATGTTGCTGCTTCACACTCTGTGTTGTTTGTGTTTATGTCCTCATTCCCACGGTTTAGCATTCATTGCACAGATTTACATTATTGAGATCATGCTCCCTTCTCTGTTCTGAATCCATTGATCTGTGGAAGTTGTCTGTCAGTAACTTTAAAGCACTTCCACATCCTAAATCACGCACGTGTCTTATACGCCATCAGTCAACAGGTCACCTGACTGATTGAATCATTGTTGGGAGTGATCCAATGCGTAGGTAAATACATGCTAGAGTGAAAAGTGTTGCTTACTGTTTGACGAAAATGAAGACATTGGAGTGGATTTAGAGGGATATAAGTACACGGGAGCTCTGCAGCATTCAAGTGCAGTGCAGTTGGTGCAGAGTTAGAGAAAATCCTGGATTCACACAACCTGGTCACACTCTTGATCCTCTCCTCTCATCCTCCTTATCTTCTGTCCATGACTGCCTTCTCTCTCCCTCTCTCACAATGTGGCATATATATATTTGTTCTGCCTCAAAGTTGAAACTCTAGTTTAACTGAGCACAAACTCAATCACAGCAAACAAATAAGTTCCCTTTTTCTCAAGTGGAAGTGAGAGTTTTTTTCTGGGGGGTTTTTCCCTCCTCCCCAAATTGCCTTATCAGTGACGTGCAGTGCACTGGTGTTTTTACATTAAGTTGAGCTGGCTTTGAAACATTGGCGTATTTATAGGTGTGAGCATGTGTGAAGAATGATCTCATTCGAAACACATTAACGTGAGCCTGTGTGTGTGTGTGTGTGTGTGTGTGTGTGTGTGTTTCTGTACTTTTTTATATTGGCGATGATTGACAATATCAGACACCATGACGTGTAGCCTGCCGTGCTGATGGGAAGGAAGAGGCAGCAGGATTAGAGGTGGACTCGCTCCCGTTCTTTGAACTCCAAAAAACATCTAATTTCTTTCCCTGTTATTTCCTGGACGTTTTTTCTTTGAAGAAGAAGAAGCTTTTCCTTCATCTGACCCGTGTTAAGTGCACAGTTTAGAGCGTGTGTAACTGCAATGTTTGTCGGATATCGGAACTGTGGAAGTCCAAAAGATGAGAAGCCAGCAGTTAAAGTGTGTGTGCGTGTGTGTGTATGCATGTTTGTGTGCGTGTAGTCTGACTATGTGGGTGTTGCTGGAGTGCCAGCTGTCTTAACGTGAGAGGGATTATGGTAAGAAGTGCTATGACGCGGTAAGGATCGTAGGACGGGACATGGAGAGGTGGTGACAGCATGGGGAGAAGCACACTTGCATTGCTACCGTATTTTTACGTCGGCCCCCGACACAATCTGACAGCCTGAGACCCTTGTGACACACAATCACCTGTGGCTTTGTTTATGTTTTTACGTGCTCTTCAAAGAACATATGGTAGGCTTGCTACGAGTCTTTTCACCATCCCTCACATCTCTGAGCCGCCATCAAAAAAAAAGGAGTTAATACAAATCCTTTTGAGGAATTTACACAAACATAATTATTTATTTAGCTGGTTAAAACCCACATAATTCTCCTATCAGCTGTGGCAAGCTGCTTCCACATGTCCCCCATACATGACTGGGATTAACAAAGCTGCAGGATGGGAAAGCCTCCGAATGCGCGTGTGTGTGTGTGTGTGTGTGTGTGTGTTTATGAACCACACGTCTTTATGGTTCACTATGTACGTGTTAAAATTGCATTTAATACTGTACGTTAAATGTTTTTTTGTTTCTAATGGACTAATACGGACAACAGTTTTTGAAATTGGTTCAGTCTTGAGGGGTAATGCTGTAACCTTCAGCCGCAAAACGAGGTGCGAAGGCAATTGTGCTGTTTTTGTGCCACTGACAGGCTCTCTCCTTGTCCTCTCTTCAATATGTAGGAGTTCCTCATCCGAATACTCTGGCTCAAATAAACCTCGTCCACATTCTCATCTAAATATTCAGCCATGACATTGAAAATCTTTTAGATAACAGTAACTTACACTTTCTATACTCCAACCCAAAGCTCTGCTCGACTGGCACCGGCGTTTCCACCGTTGTCTTCCGGCAACCCGTCACCTCACTAGATTTCACAACGAGACTTCCCAATGAGCGATGATGATGTAGTCATACCATCGAAACTATAATTAAAGTATAACTATGAACTAATGGGATTTTATTAGATAGCCTTACTTAGGTAGTAATAAAGTCACAATTTTTAATATATTTCATTGTCTCATAACAACGTATCACATAAACGTCTTTCATTTCTTCTGCCACATTTTAATTACATTCTTATAGCTCACAATCACTAACATCAATCATTCTTTGTGTTTTACCATTTTTCATAACAAAGTCTACTATATGGTACCAATGTGCAGCTCTTCTTTGCACATGTGCCGATAAAACGCGGGAGAATTAAAAATATTCTAACCGACAAAACCGACATTAGGCATATGGCTGTGGCAAGGCAGCATGTTGTAGAACCGTGTGGCTATATATAGTTCCCCCCCCCCAACATGTTACCTGCTCTTTTTGGTCGTTCACTCGACATTTAACATCTTCAGTGAAGCGTATTGTGCAATCTCAATGCAGGGGTGACGTGACATCACGTCCCAGGCCACGGTGCAGTAGCGGGTTTAACTTTGCCGTGTGTCAGCTGAGCGCCCCCTACTGACATCACACTGTAACACACCGCTATGCTGCGGCAAAAGTGTGGCGCAACCGTGGAAAAAGTGGCGCTTTCTCGAGGTAAAGTGCTTCCGCTATACATAATTTGGCAACTGTTAGTCATTTCGTATGTGAATAGTCCACTTCTGACAAAACTACCTATGAATGGCAGGAAGTGGATTGTCTTTGAAGTGACTATTTGATTCATCTCTCGACTGAAAAACCTTGAACCTGACTGGTCTATTTTTCACACAGGCTTTCAAAATCTGCAGACTTCTTTTCAGTTCCGTCTTCTTTTTCTGAAACTCTTGCAGAAACTGTTGTGAGACTAGCCTCAGAGCCACATCCATCACCGATCACTCGATACGTCTTCAATCAGTGGAGCTCCATGAAGTCATCTGCAATATCAATCGTAGTATCACCAGTCAGACCGAGCTCAAACTGTGGACTGACTCACTCACAGCCCCTGTTTTTAACTGTGTCTCACTCTTCTCGTGGCAAATGTCTTGCTCTATTGCCATGTTTAATTGGCAGATCTGTCAGCTTTGCATAAATCTTTGTAAATTACATCGCCCTTATCTCCTCCTGGGGATGGGCCCTGGGGTCGCTTGATTCCATCCAATGGCTCCGCCAGTGGGGCATGGCGGGGAAATGACTGGTAATTGGAGGCAGCTAAGGGTCGTCACCCCCTGACACACACTCAATAAACAGCTCTGAGCTTTATACGGCTAAGCGCTCTTTTTTTTTTTCTTCAGATTTCTCTGTGCCACATTTTCATACTTCACGTACACATTCATGCACTCCCCCCCACACACTCTACTATCTCGCTCTGATTCTTTTAAGTGTCTATTCTTTACTCCCAATTCTCTATAAATGCTGTAGCTGATGGTCTGTTGCTCTGTTCAATCAATGCAAAGGGCTTCAGGATTGTGTCTGCAGATGAGGTGTGTGTCTGTGTGCATCAGTGCATGTTATTACAGTCCAAGGCTGACAGTATTGTAGTGAGGCAACACCTGCAATGCCTGCCAACTGTAGCGTCAGACCAAATTTCTCCAGTTGCCACAATCATTTGCACAAACTTGCAACATGGACTGTGCAAGATTGGTGCAAAGTCGATAGTTAATCTCAGAGAATATCACAAGTTTAATGCCGATTAGCGACATCTTGTATGTATAGTAGATAATAAGCCTATCCAGCGCTAAAGCAACTGTGTGTTCAACAGATTCCCAAAGTGAGTCAGTTTCACTTATCGGGCAATTTGATCACATTTAGCTACAAATTAAACTATTAATTAAAAACAGCGGGTCCACTAACTTTAAACTACCGACTGGAGAGCAGACGAAAAATGTGCTGAATCCGACGCTCCATCACAGAATGGTGGCGGTAATGAATGTATATTGTCTCTGCTATATAAACAAAATACATTATGCGGCACGATGTTATAGTCTGCAACGTGGGAAAGTCGTAGCTGCTTTTCCCGCTAAGTAAATCGTTATCAAGAGTGATTAATTATGTGTGAGCCATTTTATAATATATGTATGTACGTATGCAAGCATGCAGCAAAGATATACTCTCAACACATGTGCACATACAGAATGTGCATGTACAAGTGTATTTAGGTCATCATGCATTTGAGAATTCAGGAACTGCATGCGCCACAACGAGAACGCACAGTTCACCTCTCAGAAATGCATTGTTAATATTGCACGCAGACTTTATCTACAGAATCATAGATGGCTCTCCCAGTTTTGTGTAAATACACACCGACAAGGACTTGTTTGATTGTGTTACAGTCATCATTATTGCACCTAAGCCGTCTCTAGGCGGTTGGACGTGCCGTGCCTGCATCTGGATCGACTCTGATTGGTTTGATTTTGGCTCTGAGGCTAAACGAGGAGCAGGGGAGCACAACTGTCAAAAGTATTCCTGTCAAGGGCAGATATTCTGCTCTGGTTCTACAGCATCCATACCTCTAACGTCACCATTGTGAATAGAACTCCTTTCACCTCTTCTCTTTCCTTTTGTTCTCTTTCATTACTTGCCTCCCCCTCTGTCGGCCTTCAACTCCTGTCCCTACTCCCTCACAGTCGTCACTTTCACTGCACACATCTTCCCTTGTCATCTTTCCCTCCCATCATGATACTATTTTCTCTTCCCTCCCTTTGCTCCCAGGCTCTCCTGCAGCCAGTGGAACAGGCACGCTGCAGATCTATCTGATAGACATTAATGACAACCCCCCGGCGCTCATACCCAGGGAGTCTCAGATCTGTGAGCGGGTGAACAAGAACGTCCACGGTGTCAACATCACTGCCGCTGACGCTGACACAGACCCTAACGCTGGACCCTTTGTCTTCGAGCTGCCCAACTTTCCCAGCAGCATCCGGCGCAACTGGACGATTTCTCGGATCAGCGGTGAGGAGGCGTCAGAACAGCAGCACTAAAGAACATATGAAAGTTAATTAATGATCAGTGGATGGAGTGGTTTGAGAGTGTGTCGCATCTTACCAGTCTTTATCAGTTATTTCATTTACTAACTGACCAAAATCTCATCAGATGCTTCATTATGAAGCTGCTTTCATTTGTCTTGCCCATATGTACTATAACGTTTATATTGGAATAATTAAATATGTAAGTAAAAACCAACAGAATGATTTATTGACTAAAAGCTTTGAAATGATTAATGCATAATAAAGGGATGTGGATGTTCTTGTATAGATGAATGTGATTTTGTTCACATTTGCCCTATCGTGTAAATTGATAATGAAAAAAACATTCAAATTAATACTCTGATATTGATTTCAGTCACGTCTGGCCCTATGTGGAAGCAGTTTTTAAGAAGAGAACTACTTAGAAAATGTATTGTCATTCTGGAGTATTACATTAATAAATGTAATCATTAGTTGCATCTTGTAACTCGTTTCCTCTCCACTCTACACAGGTAACTACGCTCGTCTAGGGCTGCGGTACCAGATATATTTAGAGCCGGGGGTGTATGAGGTCCCTGTAATTGTGTCGGACTCGGGCAACCCTCCGTTGTCCAACAGGTCAGTCATCAAAGTCAAGGTGTGTCCCTGCGACGAACACGGAGACTGCACCACTCTCGGGGCCGTGGCTGCCGCCGGCCTGGGGACCGGAGCCATCATCTCCATCCTCATCTGCATCATCATACTCCTCTGTGAGTATATCGGCGGTTCAAGCGGCGTTCACACACCTCGCTACTTTCAGACATGACACACGCCCACTCGCATACATAAAGCAAAAAGAAGTTCAAGCTGCCTGTGATTTGCTTTGGTCTGCTTTTCTGCCAAACAAGTGTAGTTCAGGGCGCAGTCATTAAACATTCACCAGGCTGGAGGTTTCTGTCTTCTTGTTCTGGTAGGGTGAATATCTGCTGCTATCTGTTCTGCCAGTGATTCATGCCGTTGGCTTACCTTGTTGCTGTGGCCCACATTGCTCATGCATATAGACAAGTCTTGGAGAAAGATTCCCTCCCGAGCTGTAGGGTTTTTCCAGCATATTTAAAAATGTGTGTCATCCGTACTTTCATTATTACTACTACCACCACGAGATTTAGGAAGTAATTCACATGTTTTCCTTTGTTTGTTTTCATGCTTATTTGACCAAGTGGCACACGTTAAGTTACAACAAAGTAACAAAAATACTGTTAAATGATAAATGAGACAATGCTAAAAATTAAAGAAAGACAGGAGGAGGAGTAAGCCGTTACAAAACTGTGACATATGACTTCTACTAAAATGATTTTCTTTTGATCTGCCACCACTATGGTTAAAGTTTGGATCGGTTTACATGTAAAAACTACTTGTTTAAGTTAGGGAAAGATGGTGGTCGGGGTTAAAAGAATAACACCAGTGACTGTTGGTCGTAAAGGACTTGTGAACAGTGGACTGACACTGGTGATCCTCTGATTTTTCCTCTAGAAGAAGTGAAAGCTGGCACCATGTTTTCGGGTTGTCCGTTCGTCCGTTCCATTCTCGTGAACGCGATATCTCAGGAGCGCCTGGAGGGAACTTCATTCCATTTGGCACAAAAACGTCCACTTGGACTAAAGGATGACCTGATAGGATTTGATTGTTGTGGCCAAAGGTCACTGTGAGCTCACAAACACGTTTTTGACAAATATGACTCCCACAATCGGCTAACACCCTGTCTAGACCGCAAGTGTCTCACACAACAGATCCGCTCTCATTTTAATCTATGCAGATGTCTGCAAGCCGTGCGTCTCAGCTCCGTCTCACTGGCGTTACTCTGACTTGAAGCATTTGATGAGACTTAAAGTGAATTATGTTGACAATGAAGCCCGTAAACGTGAGGTTGAAGCCCAATAAAAAGGCACGGAACAACTGTCTCTGGCCGTCACATACGATAAAAGCGAGCAAACTGTTTTCCCCGTAGACATACAGTCTATGGTTCTCCCCCACTTTGTCTTGACATTTTGGACAGAATGGATGCAAACTGCAAGGGGTACTGATGCAGACTATTGCAGTGTACCCTGAAGGTTTATCGTGTTCATGTGTGTGTCGGTACAGGCATGGTGCTGTTGTTTGTGGTGTGGATCAAGCGCAGAGAGAAGGAGAGGCACACCAAGCAGCTGCTTATTGACCCTGAAGACGACGTCAGAGACAACATCCTCAAATACGATGAAGAGGGAGGAGGAGAGGAAGACCAGGTACGATCCTGGGAGACATGCACCCACATACATGCACACACACACACACACACACACACACATACACACACAGACAAACACGCTTTCTAGGTTGACCTCCCGCGCAAACTTACATCTGTTTGCCTGTGTGGGCGTGTAGGACTACGACCTGAGCCAGCTGCAGCAGCCTGACTCCTTGGAGCACATCATCAGCAAGCCGCCTGGTGTCCGCAGGGTGGACGAACGTCCCATCATCCCTGAGTCTCAGTACCCAATCAGACCCGTCGTGCCCCACCCTGGAGACATCGGGGACTTCATCCACGAGGTGAGTTTACACAGCGGACGCAGACGTTTCGTCTCGCATGCGTGCTAGGTTGTTTCTCCCACAGTGAGCTGGCCTCTCACTTCCACTTCCCATCGATCTGACATTTAATGTGATTACTCATTTCTGGATGCTGTTCGATATGTGAGCTCTAGTATGGTGATGGGAACAGCGTAGAGTTTTGTTTTACGTTACAGCTGCTCTCATGGCGCCAGCTTTATTCACACACACAACTCCAGCGTTGGCACACTGATGCGAGAAAATGCTGATTGACAGACTCGTGACAACACGTTCACACTCGAGAGATGTTGGCAGCTGTTCAGCTTTGATCCATCCAGCCTTGACTCTTTCTCTCCCTCTCTCTCCCTCTCCCGCTCACACATGTACTCACCTGATCTCGCTCCAGCAGTCTGGTAAAACAAAAACACAGCAAACACATGGTGTTCCTGCCACGCACTGTACCCCCGGGGGTTGAGGCTTTTTAGGTTTCTATCCGTAGCATCTCTCTGTATTTCGATGAAGTGGATGAAGTCCATGCTCTTCACCTACCGAACCTTCAGGTCATCGGCCTTCGTTTGCCATTCTAAAAAACAAGTGTGGGTTTGCACCCCGGCTGGAAAAGATGATCTCATTAAATCGTATCAAAGGCAGGGTTGGTGATCGTCTACAAAAACATTTTTGATATTTTTGTAGAAATTCTCATTACATCCTGAATCAATGAATCTAACGCTCTGACCATAAAAAAAGACAAAAGTCTGGTATCTGTGGCTGTCGCAGGACTTAAACCCGTCCAATCATTTAATTTGCGTGTATTCTGCCTTATTGCTCGTCACTGGAGTCTTCCACAAGCTACTAGCACAACAGCTGTGAGCGGTGTTCGTTGTTTACGTCCATGATGATAATTTGGGGGGGAGTAGCTTTGGAGGGAGGCCCGTGCTGTTCTCTACTTTCATAGGAAAAGAGTTGGGCTGAGTTTTTTGTTCGAATGATTTTTGAAATCTTGCGTACTCTTGCTAGTTTGCCAAGATTACCAACCCTGCCTTTAACGAAGCAGTAACGAGATATTGACGAATAGGGTTTGATCACACATCGCTGAATCAAATTCGGACTTGGCCAATGCATCCCGTTATTCATGTGTTCTCATACATGAAAAACTTGAATTTGTGTGCACACTCCATGCAGACATGATTCATTTTGGAGGTGTGTGACATTGTTTCCGATGCTGTTTGTATTGACTTGTGTGTGACTGGCTGTGTTTGTGTCTCTGTTGCATTTCTGCTGCTTCACTCAGGCCTCTCTTACAGAAGAGATCCTGATCTCAATGAGAATAGCTGATTAAATAGTGGTTGTAATAATGTAGGCCCACCATAGGGTTTACCATAGCAACATGCCCCTGTGAAGCCTGTAGGGTTTGAACAATTTATTGACAATTCACTTAAAGAAGCTTGTTGAATATTTCATTTTAGAACTCAAGTATGGTGACAAACATTGCAGGATATGTTGTTATTAGATTAAACTTTATTGTACTGAGACAACGAAATGCAGTTGTGCTTTGTCCCAGAGTATGAGTACAATACGACAATATTATGTTTTTCAAATAGTTTTCCATGCACAAAAACCATGCCATGTACCAAAATGTAACGACACACAGTATTTGTTTTTCAAACTGAAATGAGACTGAGTAAAGGGCTTTGGACAGAGAGTTGATCAATACCAGTGGCAGAAAGCTACTTAGGTAGTACCATTAAATGGTACTTCATACCTTTGCTATGTACTAGTATTGTACTTTTTACACTGCTACATTAACTTATAGTTACTAGAAGTAGAATATTGAAATCGGCTGATAAAATAGTTTGCATTGTTATAGCTTACCCACCAGTATAAAAGCTGCAGCACAATGCTTCTATACAAGTAGAGGATATACAACAATACAACGACGATGACGTCACAGTGATGTCATCAGGGTTGTTCTGCAGCCTGGGCTCGTAGACATTTTTTACAAAAAGAAAGACGTTTGCTATTTACCAGGAATGGAAGGAATAAGGAATAGCTGCTTTCCGTTGCATCATGGGAAACATCTCAACATCTGTTGATTCAATTTTGATTTTTTTGTGAGCGCAATGTTGAATCGCCGGCCTTGACTTCCGACAGCTTGTTGCTTTTCCATCAAGCTGCAGGCGTGTGTGAGTACTGACAGCTACCTTTCCTCCTCCTTGTCCTGTTTAGGGTCTGCGAGCAGCAGACAACGACCCCACAGCTCCTCCGTATGACTCCCTGCTGGTGTTTGACTATGAGGGCAGCGGCTCCACCGCCGGCTCCGTCAGCTCCCTCAACTCGTCCAGCACGGGGGACCAGGACTATGACTACCTCAACGACTGGGGCCCCCGCTTCAAGAAGCTGGCTGACATGTACGGTGGAGGGGATGATTAAATCTGACCAGTCACACACACACACTCGCACACGCACACAAACACACACACACACGCCCTCGTCCCGTCAGCTGGCCTGTCATGCTCTGTCCCTGTAACACACGGGGCTGCTACACCCTTTTTGAACACAAGTTAACAATGACATGTTCACACTGACCAACTGACTGACCAACCAACCAATCAAATTACCCACCACAGAGGGCCGGTGTCGTGAGTCCATTTCGGGTGCTCTTCTCAACCGTCTCCTGCTCTAAGCCTGTCTGAGACTGAAGCGGAAGATCTGAATTGCAGGCTTCTCATAGTTTGTATTTCCAAGTGCTTGTGCTTTTAGTTTATTTTAGTTTTTATGCTAGATGTAGGTTTTCGTTTGTGTGGCTTCTTTTCTTCTTTTTTTGTCACCGCTCCCTTTTGATTCGAGCCGTTCCCTATTCCTGAGGGTTTTCACTTTTCCCTCGCTTTCAGACCCCGCCTGCCTCTCTGCAGAAGCTTTAGGTTGAGCCGCTCGCTTCGTCTGAGGGGGAACAAAGGGGAAACAAAAGAAGAACACAGATATGAAAGTCCTTCCTGCACGGAGGGCCCTGGTTTATTCTTTCTTGAACTTGAATTACTTAGAACAGAAGCACTGTTGTTTAAAAAGTGCCTTCAGTGGTGCGTATTATAGCAGACTCCCGCTAACTCAGGATTGGTTGCCATTTTCTGGGCTTACATGCCTCCATATATGACCCCTGACCCTTTAACTCAGACCTTCCCTTGTCATTTCTGTCGTCCTGCAGGGCTGTGGTAGCTGCAGGAGAAGTCAGTGCCGATTTCAGATGAGCATTGACTGGCTTACGAGGGCGCTTTTGTGTAGACGTACTGTACATAGGCCTACAGTGTGTCTGTAAGTTATGGACGAATCATTAACTTTTCAAGTCAGGCGCATCTGTGCTCCTAAATCACAGCCAACTTGAATGTGATGACTGAAATCACACAAAAATACACTATGGGACTGTCTTAGAGAAGAAATGCATTGCGTGTCTTTGTTTATTGTGGCTTCAACAGCAGCTGTGTTTGTTTTGAGCTATCAGTATTTGCACAACATTTTTTTTTTGAAGATTGACAAGTCATGTGTGTGTTTCCTAATGTTATTGTATATGAAGTACGTATATGAGGGTTATTTAAGGAGACGTTGCCTTTGAGACCATTCAAAGTTTGCATGTGTATCCCTTCACCCAAAGGTAGTTAACATGGCACCAGTTATTGTGTGGGTAAATGTGTCCGAGAAAACTATGTAAACTGTACAAACACGAGGGGAAAGAAAAGTCTAGATGAGTTCAAATAGCTGCGATAGCATTACATGCAGAGTTGTGAGCCAAGAGATTGCTTTCTCTCTTTTATTTTTTTTATTCTTTTGTTGATTCACTGTTGTTTCTCAGCAAACTTTTAATGTACCAACTTTGCTGCTGGTCCCTGTCACAGAGACTGGGGGAAGTTGAGCCTCAGCCAGAGTTTTAGCGCTCTTACAATCTGTCTCTCTTCAGGCGGCGTTTCATTCATCTGAAATTTTCTCCTGAAATGTTTTGGCTGCAAGTTCAAGAGGTTTTGAGGAGAAAACAGAGGGAAGGGAAAAGTCTGTTATGAAGTTCTGCATTTTATCAAAGCAGACTTGCCAAACTAAAGCTTCGGTTATAGCGCCGTAAAAGACGGAACATTTTAAGAGACAGTTACGTTGTGTCTTAATGGAAACGCAGCACTACCCATGGGCTTCTGTAATCACATGTCAGACCCCCACAACCGCTTATAGAGAAGTGGAGAAAAAAAAAAAAAAGAGCTTTAGTCTTTGTGTTGAATTATTTAAATGTGCAAAACATTTCAAAGTCAGAGGTTTAATCATTCCTTATCTTCTGAGTGTCCATTGAAATCTCCTCCGTTGTAGCCGGTTTCAGCTTGACGTAGATTGAGCAGATCTATTAATTATGAATCTGCAGAATGCTTACAGGGATCCTCCCCCCCCCCTCTCATTGTTTCTCCAGCTGCTCTTCAACTCCTCCTCACATGCTCATGGTTAAAAACTAAGAATCTTTAGTTTTCACAAATGGTAATAAAAAGTGTAACTATTCTTTCAGAGGGGATTATTAAAAGGAATTTACTTGTGACACAAGATATAAATGGAAAATTATCATGTTCATGAAACTATTCATGGTGCCATAATAATGAAATAAGGATGGGGAAGGAAGGTCATAGTACAATTAATAAGGTTGACACGGTAGGAATCTCTTGATTTAGATGAATACATAAATGGGGGAAGATTGCACCTTGTGGTGTTGAAACTGACAGCGGTGATTCTCTGGATAGCTGTCAGCTGAGAGTGGAAACAACGAGTAGACGTGAGAAGTGAAGTCGTTTCTATCGCTTGCTGCTGGACAAGCTCTGATCTATCCGATTGCTCCACAGCCTACAGAATATCTTCACAAAATAAACACAGCTGTTACTTTCTGCTATTTGTGATTATTTCTGACATGTTGTATATACAGAACATTTTTATACATTTGGTAACATGATTTATCCGTTTCTGTGTCGTCTATGCATTTTCTTTCACCCCAGTTTTGTTTTTACTGAATACTTGGGCAAGGTATATGTCACCACAAAAAGCCATGTGCATTTAAGAGGATCTGTATGATTCTCCGAGAGCTTACAGCCATACGTGGCTGTTCAAGTTTGGCTTCATCGCGGTGAAAAGGTTTCACTTCAAACCAACTTGTACAGTCTATACTAGCACACACTCACGCCTCTAGGCCTTACTGTATATACGTGAGTGTTCTATATATTATATGAGCCCTTTCAGCGTCGTTCGAATTCAGCTGCAGAGCTGCAACACGAAGGCCATTCAGTGTTCATAAAGACTTGCTAAACGAATTTCTCATTCTTTTTGATCAGATTTTCAGACCTGGTTTAGGGCCAAACATAGCAAGAGGCCCCCACACACACACACACACACACACACACACACACTATACGCAAGGTAACAATTATAACTGTGTCATACATACATACGTGACACAATGCCATTATGATGCTGAATGTTATCAATGACTCGCAGTGACACGTGACCGCTAATCATCAGTGGAGTCGGTCACACTTGACTCCCCATTTAAATGCAATTTGTGAGGGGAAACGAAGGTTTATTGATCATTACTTGTTACGTACTTGGTCCACTTGTCGTATTGACGTTCTCTTTCTCAAGTTAGAGGAGAATTAGCAAATAATGTAATGATGGAAGAACTACTGCCCCTGCTGTAGTCCACCACTGTCTTCTGACTGTGTCAACAACGGCTCTCCTGCCTCTCTGACCGGTGTTAGCTCAAGGACACTTGGTCTCACTCGGGACACTGCCTGACCATGGACACACACACACATGACGGGAGGCTCCAGCAGAAGCCAGAACTACAAAGACAGGCAGACAAGACAGCCAACTGTTTCATATGAGTTCTCCCAATACTGCTCAAGTCCAAGTGTACATAATTTAGTATTTGCTTGAAGCTAAACAGACGAAGTTAGGCAGACTGTACCTGTACAATTGGAGCTTTTTGCATGTGTCTTTTTATAATGGACAGATGAGTTCTATTACAGTAACCATACAACATTTTAAGATGTGTTGCAGCCCGCATGACCAGGGTTGCCCTCCAGAAGGGATTCTGGTGTACCATACTCGCATAGTTTCAAGCGGAGGAGAAAAAAAAGCTGAAAAAATGATTGCACAGTTATCGAGTCAAAATACTTTTTTTGTAAATTGTCAACAGCACAAATATTTTGTATTGTTGTTTGTACCATTTTGTAAGAAAACTATGAACAAAAAAAAAAAAAAAAAAAGGGAAAGAATCTGTTGTTTCAAGCGTGTGTTTATAGTGCCACTGCAATCTTGGTTTCCAAATACCGTACAGTAAATGCGCAGCCTTGCAGATCAACCTTGTAATATAGACGCTGAGCCTGGACTCCCTGTCAGCACCATGTGTTATCAATAAAAAAATTCCCCTCCTTATAAGAACAGTGCCTCCTGACTTTTCTGTGTCACCCACTGATTTCTGCAAGCGACGCATTTCCTCACACCCGTGTTGTTTTTAAAGTGGTTATTTTGACCAGAGATTGTTACATTAACTCAAAAGTGTCCCTGACACGCAGGCAACTTTGCACTATTTCAATTTGTTTTTAAAGTTTTAGTACATACATATTTTCACCCATCAGTCATGAAACATTATAGTAAGAACCAATTACTTGAAAATAAAAACAACATTTCTTTAATCATGTGACAGCTCTGCGTCTTTTGAATATCACTCTAACTCTAAGCATAGTATAAAGTGGAAGGTACTGTAATGTATATAGAGAACATTGTGATCAAATGAAATCATTTTCACAGGAAACATAACAAAATACTAATTGCAAATGATTTAAAGTGTGCTACACATGCTGTGCTCACTTGCTCGCCCGCATACATTATATTTAGACAAATGCTTTCATTGACATTGCATATCATTGTGACAAAAGACGTAGCAGTATACAACCACACAATTATAAAATCAGGATTTTGTCGAATTCCTATAGCAAACATTTTCCTTTTGCTTGTTTGGTTAACTTCCTCTGAGCCTTGTTTGTTGCTGCACAAGAAAAAAATACTTGTTTGCACCCAAGTCAAGTATATATAATGTTTTTAATAAGTTATATTGGCTCTGCATTGCTAAGAAACTGCATCTACTTTAACAGGAAATAGATTAGGGTACACTTGATATATAGGAACACATACTACAGACAATAAGTAAACAGTTAATGGAGGAGTCACTACATTGTTTTAAGCACTTTGGTTAAATAATCAAATTATCACAATTCTTTAAAACGGCAATTTCATTGTCATAGGGGTACTTAACTTGCATAAATCCCAAATGTCAGTATTTCTTTAAATTCTGAGTGTTGGAAACAGTTCCTAGGCAATGATCAAGATACAATGAACAGTACGACCCTTTGACAGTATGTTGCAGGCACTGCACCTTGAAGTGAATTGTCACATAGGCCCACTGCTTGTCAACAGTGAAACTTCTTTATTGACATTTCAGCTCCGTTTGAAATCTTAATACAGCGATGGTCACTGTGAAAACAGGAGAAACCTGAAGGTAGAAAAGAACCTCAGTTTGTAATGGGCACAGGCAGCACGCGATGACCCTATACTTGTTCTCTTTTAGCACAGCAGTTCGATGAACCGACAGCGGACCGCATCCCCTCCTCATTGATTGACCTGTCGGAGCACGTCAATGCCCAAGCAGATGGAATAAGCCGTGCTGTTACACGCTGCTCACACATGAACCCACGACTCTGTCTCCTCACACTACCAGAAAACTGAGGATGAAATGAAACCTGCTCCTGCCCCCCCACCAGCCAGACTGCAGGGTTGACAGGATAAGTCAAGATGGATTAATTCCGTTAACAGTCGCATGATTATTGGTATTGCCCCATGCTTAATGTTGACGCTGTGTAGGCTGTGGGTGGTTTACAGCTGATATTGATCCATGCTTATTTTACCAGCTTGATCCGTTTCTCCCCATTTCAGGTCTTTATGCTAAGCTAACCGGAAGCTGACTGTGAATAATCTACTCATGTTTTTTTAAATATAGATTTAAGAAACAAGACATGATGTGTAAGTGAGCTGTAAAGACGCTGGTAGGCAGATGTTGGTCTCTTTGGAAGGAGCCGCACTAGCGGTTTCCCTCCGTCTTTGTGTTAATCTAAGCTAACAGTCTCCTGCCTGTATCTTCATGTTTACAGTGTATAGGAGAAATACAGGAGTGGTATCAACATTCATCTAACTACTCTGGACAAGAAAAAGAAAAAGCATATTTCCCAAAAAGTCAAACTATTCCTTTCACTTGTAAAAACTACAGTGACAGAAGAACAGCTTATCTCTTGAACTTGACAGACAGAAGCCTGGTTCTCTATATTTAAACACACAAAGCATCATCGTGGATGAAATCTCCGTCTGGTTGGATTTTATATTTTGGCTACAGTGCTCAAACTTGGATAAGGCAGACCCAGACAGAACGAACACATAAACAAGCACACATGGAACTGGGACCAGTAGACGAGGTGATATCGTCGTAGAATGTGAGAGTGGGGGAGATTAAGTGCTGTATTTTCCCCCTTTGTGCACTTGACCCGAGCAAACCATGATGTCACTGACATCACAAGTAACTGCATTTTTTTTAAAAGCTCACTTTATGTCTGCTGAATGAACGGGGCAGCATTAACAAAACTCTAGACTCCATAAAAGCATGAATCAAATTTTACATTTCAGTAAAAAAAGCTGCATTTTTTGTAAAACTATGTTCCGGAAGGTTCTCTGAATTCATTCACATGTTCTTGCTCTACAAATCCTGGGAAAAACTGATTCACTCCTGAGAAGTGAATGCGTATTACTTTGTGTTCCTAGAAATGTTTTTGACTTGATGAATGCAGAAAGTGCACACGGACTGAGGGCTCATTTGCCCTGAAGCATTGTGACATAATGAGTCTGAGGGACCATGTGTTTTGCAAAATATAAAACAAAACCTTAAACTTCTCGGACTCTTCTATTTCACCAAATGGCTTTACATTTTCTCTCGTCGTCGTCGTGCCTGTGGATGACCATTATAACATTTCATTTGAAATTATTCTGAAGAGATTCATCAGAAACCATAACGCATGCGCGGCCGGCTCGGCTATGTGAACAAAGCAAAGCTTGGATAACAACGCACACAGAGGGAGAGTGACTCCTCAATACTCCACTATCTCCAAAAACAAAACAAAAAAACAATACGCATAGTCTGATTATGAATTTGTGTTCTAAACACTTTATTTTTTTTCTATCCAATAAAACAGCTTGAAACCCCCTTTAAAATGATCTCATCTCACTACATTCCAAGAAAAATAAAATCTCATCACTCGACAAACATTCATATATCGAAATTGAATTATCTTTTTTTAAAGGGTTTAACTGTTTTGTACTGATATCTGCAATGGTGGGAGAAGATCCTATACCTGAGAGGAAGTAGCAATACCACAATGCACAAAATGTTACCGAAGAGACCGTAGAGGCGAAATGTACCTTATGTATAAGTAAGGAAAGAGTACTCCTATGAGCAATAATACATTCTAATCCTAACGTATAGTAGAAGTACCTGCATGCACATTGAACGTTTTTGATCCCTGTATTTGTTCCTTCTGTCCATACTGGCCCTGAGATGATCCCTTCGTAAAGGGTAAGTGATGTTGGACAAAATCCACAGTCCTCTTTCTGTGCAACTACTGTTTTTATAGTTCAGGTGAAGCTAATAAGAAGTGAAACGGAAGTTTTATACTAAAACACTGCTGCTTAGGGAGATAGACAAAGTTTATTTGGTTTACTGAAGAAGCAACTGCAGCAGTATTGTTTTAAGATTAAGTACAGTTTGGATTTTTTAAGTATTTGAAATAAATGTAATTCAATTTGAATGATGGATATCCATGTTTTAAGCACTATACTGTTCTAGAAGTAACGTGCAAAAAAATATCCAGAGTGACATGTGACATTTCCTCCGTGTTCATGCTCGCTGCTTCAGTGCGTAGACATCTGCCGGTTTCTAATTCCAAATTCCTGCTTTCACACGATGATGAACCAGACAACATGACTGATGTAAAAGATGTCGTTACGAGAGAGAATTAACAGACTTAGAATTCTTGTTGACTTTATATTTCTCACTCAAGGCTTTGGTTGTTAAGTGTCTGAGATAAACACTATAACAGAAAGGAAAGAATCTGAATCAATAAAAAGCAAAAGCCATGAACCATTTATAACTTATAGACTGTCAGAAGAGGAGAGTGCGTCTCAATATCAAGCCTCAATATCAGAGTTGATGATATACATCAAAATGTTTTTCCATTTGCTTCGAATATGAATTACACTAAACAATTGATCTAAGATTAGAAACTATAATTCAAATGTGAATTAGCTATCAAGAGCATCGGGGAGTGTACCTTTTCTGATATTTGTTAGAGAACGTTAGCATACAGCCAGGTATATATATATATATATATATATATATATATATATATATATATATACATATACATATATACATATACATATACACTGTATCTTCCCTGAGGGAGCTCTATAGACACAGTTAGACCAGTCATCCATCTATCCATACCATTTCCTCCCATTGTCCATCAGTGACTTTCATTTCCTCTATGATGGCCGGAGGATGTGATGGACGGAGGAGGATGTGGGAAGGAGGGGATGGCCCAGGTCCAATTGGATATCTATCTAATGGCTGCTTTAGTGGACCGCCGGACCGCCTCTGGACCCAGACGTAGCACATAGAGTGAAAATGAGATGGCCTGTGTTCCGAGTCCTCTCCAAGTAATGCATTTATACTCGGAATGATCCAAAGTGCGGCGCTCTGCGTAATAAGAATAAACAAATAGCCGTACCGTATTGGCTTTATTGTCTTACATCAATGTTGATTTATTCACAGCTGTGGTGGGCTATTGTATGCAGATTGCCTGATGCCCCCGCGGTGAACTCCTCATCTAATCCTTCCAGAGAGTACCTGCACTGTTTGGGGAGAAGTGGGCCCTCGTGAGATACAAGAGAGGGTTCAAACAGTCAAGACAACCACAAAACCACGCAGGGAAACCGTCCTGAAAGTCTACACGGGCCTTTCCACCCATCACATCAACAAAAGCTATTTGGTTCACGCAGAGCTTTCTAAAGGAACCACAGTTTTGGACGGCAGTGGCAAGTATGGAGGAGTGTTATGAGACGATGAGAGCCATTTCAAAGAGGCATAAAGGCGTCCAAAAGCGGAGATTGGAAGCGATAATGTTTCCTCCCGGGTCAGTGAGACCACACCCCGGAGAGAACAGCTGCAGCTGACCACATTATGGCTGACGAGGGACAGAGATAAAGGAGTGAAGCTCTGGGCCCATAGTACTGCCTGAAATCAGATTTAGATTCCATTCTTACATCCAAATCATATTACG